ACAGAGATCAACACCTCTTTTAATCGTGAGCAGCATTAACAGAGAAAGCAGGGAGTTGTGACTCTGGTGCCTGTTGCATTCAGTTCTCAGTGTCACAGCCAAGTGTCCCACATTTGTTAACTGACTGTTGTATTTCTGTAGAGTTTGGGGTTAAATACTGCTTCCAGTGTGGCCACAAAGATGATTCTGTAACGAATCTAAAGGTGTTCAGTGATCTCTCAGGTCCCTCCCAACCCAGACCTCACAGCTGACCCCATCTGAAGGCTGCTAACAAAAGGAACATCATCAGGTATCGATGATGGCCCAGAACGTGAGAGAACAGTGGAAATACAGCCTTGGCAGGCGTTGGTTTCAATTACTGAAAGCTTCCTGTGATGATCTCCTTATCTCCAAGCATTTCCTGTATAAATGTGATCCTGCCTATCAGGACACCACGTTAGCAAAACCCTGCAAACATCATCACCAGCAGCCTTATCTAAAGAGATAATTCAGTGTCAGCAGCACTTGAATTACCGTCCAAAATCTGCGCCCTGAGAACCGGTTTGGAATGAGATCCCTGGATTTCTCTGTATCCTGCAATCCGGAGCTATTTGGCAAAACAAAAGTTGAGGCTCAGCTGCTCACCTGCACTGCTGAGCTTTGCAGGGACGGGGATTTGAGCTGCAGCAGGATAATTTATCTCTGCTCACCATCAAATCATTGAAGTCAGGCCGTGTGTGTGTGCTCCATCCCACTGGGAAACTCCCATCCCTAATGACCTTTGGGGTTATTAATGCTGATTTGTTCATCATTTGTGTATGGAGATAAAAAACAGTGCTCCAGTTAATGGTAGACACTCCAAAAATAGGAATAAAGATAAACTTATCTGGGATCTGATGATGTCTTTACCAAGCAGACAAGGTACCATTAGCAGTGGCATTTTTAGCAATGGCTCCTTATCCCAGGGATCCAAAATAGCCTGGCTGAGTCAGCTCCTTGCCCACCTCTACCACTATAAATTGATGCACACGTCCAGGCTGTCACCTCTCCCTGTACACCGATTCCAAATCATATTTTAATTGCATTTTGATGCAGTCCCTCCCCTGGTGGCCTGCGCTCCCCTCTCTGGATCTTCCATCAGTGTGAGTGTTTGGGATTTCAGAGGAGGAGCTGTGGCCTGGCGTGGCCACAAATGAGGATTTGTGGCCACAAATGAGGATTTCTCCCCTTGCTCGTGGAGGTTTGTGCAGCAAAACGTCCCTGCCCGCCCTGCAAGGGAAATAACAACACAGGAATGGGCATGGAGGTCTCAGCTGATCCCTCTGGCCACCACCAAGTGCATCCCCTCAGGGCAGAGCCTCCTCCAGCTTCCCCAGCACGGCCCAGCCTGATTTATGGGTTAGTCAGCGTGTCAGATTCCTGTAATGAGATTATATATTCAATCTAATGAAGGAAAAATATGCTTACCAGCCTGGTGTGACAGTGCTGTGATTAAATGATTCAAGAACAGAGTTCCCTCAGTGGATTAATTAAAAAAAAATGCAGCAGGTACAGCTGACCTGCTCCGGGTGTTGTGAGGGGCTCTGGCACAGGATTAATGGCTTGTGATGGTGTTGATAAAATAATGACAATAAAGGCAGGGAGGAGTGTGTGAAGCTCTTGGGTTGATGTTAAACCCCTCCTGTGGGTTTAACATGATCTGTGCTGGTGGAGGTTTCCCCTCCTGGTTTGAGTCCCAGGGTGGAAAGGAAGAGAAAAGTGCGACAAAAGCTCTCGGAATGGGGTCACCTGCCCTGCCCATCCCCATCCTAATTCCAGCCAGAACACTGAGGAAGATCCCTCCAGCTTGAATTTTGAGGAGCAGGAGTTCCATGTTTGAGGAAGGTGAGGAGTTTTTTGCTGCTTTTCCACCTGAGAGAGGAAGAAAAGCATCACCATGCACTGTGCTACCAGAGCCCTTTGTGCTGTGCTGGGTCACCTTCCCCACCTCAAACCCTGGGACTGGGAGCTGCCTGGGGGCTCAGTCTGGTTGGAATCTCAGACAAGGTCACCAAAAAGAGCCAAAAATTCAGTCCCAGGTTTGGGATGTTTGAATGTCCGTCAGAGCAAGCGGTGAGGAACTCTCAGTGGATGAGTTGGGATCAGCTTTGTTTTTCAGGGAGAAGAGTTCTCTAACTCCCATAATCTGCCCAGGCTCTGGGGTGCTGAGCTGATTTTACTCTGATAATGCCATAAGCTGGTCTGTGATAATTGCTTTCTGTAACTGGGACAATTTATGATGATGCTAATTGGGCTGCTGCCACCCAGGGAGGGGCTGAGTTAATCCCTGCCTGTCCTGGAGCTGCAGATCCCGATGTGATCAGCCCTCCTTGGAAACTGAGGGAGGGGGGGTTAATTCTGAGCAGACTGAATTTCAGATGAAAAAAACCCAGATCTTTTTCTACCAACCTACAGCATTTTATATCAGGTTTAAAGTCTGGTTCCAGATCATCAGACTAATTCTTAAAGGGAAAAGGTTTAATTCTGTTACCAGCAGCTCTGTGATCTCCACGGTGAGGGAAGTGAACTCTGAGGAGTTCTGAGTTTGCTCTTCAGGCACTGCAGTCCAGACCCCACGGCTCATCCCAGTGGGGGAGATGTTTTAGGTTCTGCTTTTATTTTCCCTGGTTGCTCTGTGAGTGTTTGTGCGGGGGCTGAAGTTTGCCAAAGGTTACATCCCTGCCAGTGACAAACATCTTTTGTCATCACGACTCCTTTAAATGTATTTTTATCCCATAAATCCATCCCTTGGTTCTCCATCTTTGAAAGCCTCCATCTGCTGAGGCAGAGCAGGGGATGGCCTTGGATAAACCTGGTTTTCCTCAGGGAAGGGGGGCTGGAGTGAGGGGAGCACTGGCAGTGCCATCCTCCCTGACGAATCAGGCTTTGATCTCACGTCCCGGCACTTTGGTGTTTATGTTCCGTCTGTTTAATGTTCTCCCTTCGCCGGAATCATCGTTCTTTTAAATGCTCTGCTTTACTGTAAATGTTTTAATGTTTTCTGCTCGCCAAACCCCACATTCCCAGACTCAGCAAGCACAGGATGAGCTCCCTCCAAGGGTGAGGGTGACAGGAACGGGGACCTTGAACCCCTCTCCCCACCCCAAAAATCCCCTGGCCCAAGGAGAGTCAAAATTTATAAACACACTTGTGAAATAATGAACTCTGGGAATGCTGGCCGTGTTTGTCATTTCTCTGCCCATTTCACTGCATATAAAGTGTGTTCACCATCGAACTCCTGTCACTTGATTTATGCCCGTGTGGCTGCTCCATAATTTAAATTGAATTCCTAATTTCTCTCCTGAAACCCCCTCAGATAATTACTGTTAAGGTTAACTGCAGAGGGGGAACTGAATAGTCAGTGGATTAGTTGGTTGTTCTGAGTCTTAGGCCACAGGAAAAGGGAACACAATCCGGGGGATATTGTCCAGGGAAGGGTTTGGCATGGCTGGAAAAGCTCTGGCACAGCTGGAACAAACTCCCGGGGATATTGTCCAGGGAAAGCTCTGGCATGGCTGGAACAAACTCCCAGGGATATTGTCCAGGGAAGGGTTTGGCATGGCTGGAACAAACTCCCGGGGATATTGTCCAGGGAAAGCTCTGGCATGGCTGGAACAAACTCCCGGGGATATTGTCCAGGGAAGGGTTTGGCATGGCTGGAACAAACTCCCGGGAAAGGTCTGGCACAGCTGGAACAAACTCCCAGGGATATTTTCCAGGGAAAGCTCTGGCACGGCTGCTTTTAGCACAGCTGCTTGGTCCCTGCCTCCGAGCTGTGGCCAGGCTCCTGCAGGCACAGGGGAAGTGTCCCCTGGCTGGGAGGGAGGGTTGGATGTGGGAGGACAGAGGGATGGCAAAGGGATCACAGAGCTCCAATCTTTTCCCCACTTTCAGTGTGAAATGTGTGAATTGAACCTCGCCCTCAGGTAGCTCACATTTGCACAGATGTGTCAAATCTTGATCTAATTCCATTGCCACCGTGCAGGATGAGGTGCCCCAGACCTGGAGCCTTTTCCAGGTGGGTTTGCAGCCCTTGGCTGAGATGTGCAGGGCTGGATCCGTCCCAGCAAAGCCGGGAGTGCTGCTGTGGAGGGGAATCTGCTGCCTGGCACCAAATGTAATTGGCTTTGATGGTCAGTGTTTGCAGATTTGTTTAGGAACTGGAAAATGTACAAATTGCAGCCCATCTGCGCAGAGCGGAGTGCTAATGAATGCCTGCAGCTACCACAGCCATAAGCTCATTACCACAAAGTTCCAAGTCCTTCCACAAGTTGCTAAACAAGGTTATTCATCTGAACGGAGTGGAGAAGGGAGTTTGACTGCAGGGCACAGCCAGAGCTCCTCCAGATCTAGAAAAGCTATTAGAACAACCCCCCGTTCTTTGGTCTTTTAATAGAATCTGTTGATTTTATTTCTATTTTTAATTTTGCTCTCCTGTGACAGCAGCTTGCCATGCCTTAACTATTTTCTGTTAAGGTTTGGAGTGGAAAGGCGCCTTGCGGGTGACTCCTGGGTGTGCTGAGGGATGCTGGGTGGTGAACTGGAGGAGATGGATTGGAACACATCGTACGCAGCGTTTCAGGGGCTTTATGGACCGTGGCAGCAAACACTAATGGTCTCTGTTCTCTGGGTGTTTGTGTCAGCTGGGAATCTGTTATGATGACTCAGCTCTTCCTCTGCGTGCCATGTCAGGCCATTTCATCTTCCTGTTTCTTCACAAAAAAAAGTGGAATTAATAATAATTATTATCTGTTTTATAGAACTGGTAGTTGTCCAAGTGTTTGAACATCCAATGCATGGTGCAGCAGGAGCAATATGTAAAAATATTTCCTATTCTCTCTTGGCTGAGGTTTTATTCCACGTTCCTTGAGGAAAAATCAGCTTTTCTAAGTTACCAGCCAAAGGAAGCATTTCCTCATCCAGTTAAGGAGTTCATAAGGCCTTTGGCCTGCTCCACATTTTCCTGTGCTCCTCCCTGCCAGGTGGAGTGGCTGAAGAATGAGGAGCCCATCGATTCCAACCTGGACGAGAACATCGACACCAGGGCCGACCACAACCTCATCATCCGCCAGGCGCGCCTGTCCGACTCGGGCAACTACACCTGCATGGCTGCCAACATCGTGGCCAAGAGGAGGAGCCTGTCAGCCACCGTGGTGGTCTATGGTCAGTGACAGGGCTGGGGGCCAAGAGCAGGAGCCTGTCAGCCACCGTGGTGGTCTGTGGTCAGTGACAGGGCTGGGGGCCAAGAGCAGGATTCTGTGGGCCACTGTGGTGGTCTGTGGTCAGTGAGAGGGGCTGGGGGCCAAGAGGAGGAGCCTGTGGGCCACCACGGTTGTCTGTGGTCAGTGACAGGGCTGGGGGCCAAGAGCAGGAGCCTGTGGGCCACCACAGTGGTCTGTGGTCAGTGAGAGGGGCTGGGGGCCAGGCTGTGCCTGCATTGCTATTTTGATTTGTGCTGCTATTGCTGCACTGATCCCTCACAGCATCACCCAGCCAAGCCCGTCCCGCTGGCATGGGTTGGGTTTGGTGCTGGGGGGCTCTGGCACGGCCCCACAGCCCCCCCGTGTTGGTGTTTTGCAGTGAACGGGGGCTGGTCCTCGTGGACGGAGTGGTCCAGCTGCAACGCGCGCTGCGGCCGGGGCTGGCAGAAACGCTCGCGCACCTGCACCAACCCCGCGCCCCTCAACGGGGGAGCCTTCTGCGAGGGCATGTCCGTGCAGAAAATCACCTGCACCTCCCTCTGCCCCGGTGAGTCCCCGCAGGGCTCTGGGGGCCGCGTTCACGGGAGAGCTTTCTGCGGGAAGCAGCCGGAGGGAGTTGGGAAGGGAAAGGGAAATGCGGCCGTGGTTAGGCCCAGCCTGGCGCGGCTGTGAGTGCAGTGCCAGGCACCTGTGGCCAGGCTGGAACTGACCCTGGCACCGCCAAAACCCTGCCAGGACAGCCACTGGCTCAGGGGGAGAGATCAGGGACCTGGGTGGGGGCCTGGGGTTCGTTTAGAGGGGAGCTGATGTTAACAACACCAGAAACACAGAAACCCGAGCTGAGAACTTGGTTAAAAGCATTATTTATCACACAAAATTTGCTCTGGAGTGTGAAAAGAGCGCTGCTGCAGGAGCTCAGGTGGCACAGGCAGAGCTGACCGTGTTCCCTGCCCGCAGTGGACGGCAGCTGGGAGGTGTGGAGCGAGTGGTCAGTGTGCAGCCCCGAGTGCGAGCACCTGCGGGTGCGGGAATGCGCCGCGCCAGCCCCGCGCAACGGCGGCAAGCACTGCGAGGGCCTGAGCCAGGAGTCCGAGAACTGCACCGAGGGGCTCTGCATCCAAGGTGAGCTGCCACGGGGCTGGGCACGGGATTTGGGATTGGCCCGAGACGTGACACAGGGAACCTGTGTGGGTGGGAATCGTGTCCGAAATATTCCCGTGAAAAGGGAGGCGGTTTTCTGTGCGGAGTTTGAAATTTTCCTGGTGGCTGGATTTGTGTTGCGTGTTCTTTGCCTGTGAACGATCAGATGATGCTAAAATCCCAGATCCAGGGGGTTTGCAGGGTGTAACTCCGACCTCCACAAGCAAATGTGCTCCTCAGCCTCTGCCTTTCCTTGCAAGCAAATGGGCAAAGCCCCCCCAGGAGAGCTGCGGGTGCAGCAGCCGGTCAAGGTCGGAGTTTCTCCTTTAGCAGGAGCTAAACCCAAGCAAATCTGCAGCTCCCTGGGAAAGGCTTTGCCCTTCACCAGTGTCTGGGAAGCATCTGGAAGCTGCTGCTGTCCCCAGCACAGGGAGCTGGGCAGTGCAGCCCTGCAGCTGCGCAGGCTCGGCGTGCGGGAGGAATTTGTGGGTTTATCCCTGCCCTGAGCCTGCTCCTGTCCCCGTGGAGGGGCTGTCACCTCGTCAGGTGCGACTGCAGCCCTGGGAGCCATCAGGAGTGCCAGGGCTGGGAGATGCTGCAAATAAGGATGTGTCTGTTTTCTGTAATGTTGTGTTTAGCCAGCCCTCTGTCCTTCTTTCTATGGTTCTGCACTGCCTTCTCCTCTAAACAAAATGCACTCTCTTCTTTTGCCCTGAGACTTTAATGTTTTCCTGGCGGCAGAGAGCATCCTGTGTATTTATTCAGGCTTCAGAGACGCCTGAGCTGAGACCTTCCATCAGATTTTGCTGGGGTCTGGTGGGAGGGGACACTCAGCACTCTGGCTCTGGATTCCTGCACTTAAAATTCCCAGGGCTACAGAACAGCTCCAAGATGTCCAAGGACAGAAATGAAATTTAATTTATTTTTTTTTTCCTTCCCTGTGTTTTAAGAAGGAATAACCAGAGAGAGTTTGGGAGCAGTGTCATTCACCCAGCTCTCAGGGGCTGTGCTGGTCCTGGGGTGTTTCCTGGGGTCTCTCCTCCCTGTGCATTGCTGAGGGCTGGATCAATCCCAGATCCATCCCGGTGTCCATCGGCATGGGAGCTGGCAGGAGGATGTGTGGGAAGGGTGTGAGGAGCAGCAGCTGAGGCTGCACGGTGGGGGTGTGACAGCCAGAGGGGACCTGCCACCCCCTGGACTCTGTCATGGTGTCCCCAGGTCAGCTGGAGACGGCCCCACTCAGGTCACTGCCTGCAGGGACACAGTGAGCGGGAAATGTTCCTGTCCTGCCCAAACTCCCCCCTTTCCCCGTGTGGGCTCCTGTGGGTCACTGCCACACCTCAGCCGTGCCTGGGGCACAGGGACAGAGCCACGACTGTGCCAGGGAGCCTCTGGCACTGGGGGAGCCGGGTCAGCTCTGCCCTGCGAGGCCCCTGGGGCTCACACAAACTCCTTCCCTCCTTCTCCTGCGCCAGGGAGGCCCTGGAGCCACAGAATGCTGGAGTGGTTTGGGTGGGAAGGGACCCTAAAGCCCTCTAGCCCCACTCTCCTCCATGGAGACACTTTCCATGGACACCTTCCCCCGTCCCAGGTGGCTCCCAGCCCCATCCAGCACCCCCAGGCCCTGCTCCAAGAGCTGCATTTCCGTGTGGGTTCAGCTGGACCGGAGCGTTCTGTGTCTCCAGCTGTGATCCTGTCTCTCCCTCGTGGCTCGAGCTGTCCCCATGTCCTCGTGTCACGTTGTTCTTAGGGCTGTAATTGCTTTCTCAGCTAACAGGAATTGATGCAATTACCCTGTTTTTTAAAAATCTCTTCTCCCCTGTTCATCTTCCAGTATGTGCCTTTCCTGCTCCGCTTCTCATCCCGTGGGGAATTGTGGAGGAAATGCAGCCCTGAGCCACAGCAAAGCAATCTCTTGGAGGTTTTTTATCAGGCACAACTCGTTAACTTTGCTCCTTCTGTGAGGCAAAAATAGAAACATTCCTTTGGTTAACAAATAAGGACTGAGCTGAAAGGGAGGATGGGAATGGAGGATGCCAGGGAAGAACCAGCCTGGATCTGGCTGGGAAAATCCTGATCCTTGGGATGAATGTTCAGATCTGGACATAGCGAATGAAACAGGGATAAAATGGATCAGCTCTGAGGTTCTTTATTGTGTCCCTGACCGGAGAGTTTGGGAATAACCCCAAGACACCACAGGGGAACATCCCAGCGCTCCCCTTGGCCTTGGATTCCCTGGGTGGATCCCCATGGCCCAGTCCTTACTGAGGAGCAACTTTTCCTTCAAGGAATTTCTCCTGGAACTTGTAACACTTGTGTAGACCCAAACTTAGATCCAGGAGGAAGATTCATGTGAGGTTTGGTAGAGATGAAAAGTTTCCAGGGCTGCCAGATCGATTCCCGGGGATGCAAAGGTCACTTTGACCCCAGACGCTCCCAGCACCTCCCTGCTTTCCTGCATGTTTGTTCTCCCAGGGTTTATTCCCTCCCAGTATTCCCAGCTGGATTCTTTGCCAAGATGGACTTCTCTCTCGCTCCTGCAGAGGTGAAAGCTTTCTCTTTGCTCAATAAAAGAGAGGGGTTTTTTTTTTTTGAGCTTTTTGTTTTACTTTTATCTGCTTGCTTTAAAGTTATTTTTCCTGACTTCAAAACCTATTGATTTCTTCTCCCAGTGCCCAAAACCAAAACAAACAAGCAGGGCCACAAGGACTGACCTGCAAACATGTTTTTACTAATGCTCCCCGAAGAATCACAAAACAATCACAAATCATTTCATTTTCCATTTTCCAAGCAGCGCTGCTGCTGTTGCCAGGAGGCTCCTGGATCCAGGAGTCTCCATTTTCACGGGAAATGCTTTTCCCTTTGCAGTTTGGTGCAGACAGCCCCTGCCAGCAGCAGGGAAGGGTTTGCTCCACTGCAGACTCGGCTCTGACCCTCCTCTCTGGGTGCTTTTTGTGCCTCATTTTCCTGCAAAACCAACACCAGCCTTGGGCAGGGAAAGAAGAAACTCATCCCACCAGGGTTTTGGTCAAAAAAGCCAAAATCCAATGATCTTTTGGGTTAAGTATTTCTAAACTAAGCATCCTCACAAACATTAAAATGAAGAGAAGGAGCCTTGTAATCCACCTGAGCCTCCCAATTTTAGGGATTCCTTTGGCAGGTTTTAGGTTGTAAATGGTGACTCAAGTGCTTGGCACGAGGGAGGCAGAGAAGGCTCATTTTTGAGTGCCATAGAAAACCCCTTTTATCCCACATTTTCCATCTGCTGGGGGCACGTGGATGTGTGCATTCATATACACACAGAGAGGTGCCATTATTGGGGGTGTTTAGGTACAAAAAATGTGAATAAACTGGGCATTTTTATAGCTTATAACTGATTTAAGTGCCCATCACCAGCATTCCATACATCAAACACACAAAGGGATCATTAATTCTGACCTGAGTCTCTTTGCCAATGATCCAGTGCAAGGTATTGAACTTCCTTCTCGCTGAGGTGTAAATAAACAACAGCATCCAATAGAGCCAACAAATAACCTGAATTAACCAAGTGAGAAATTGCTGTGAAGGAACTTCCTGAAAGGGATTTAGGAAAAAAAAAAAAAAAAGGAAAAAAAAAAGAAGATGAAGAGAAAAACATGGACAACATAAAATATTCATATTGTCAGCAAACGAGGAGAAAATGTTTCATTTATAGAGTGAGACAGAAGCAATATAGGAAATAGATATGCTCCATGTAAATTTATTAAGTGCAACTTTCTCTCTTTCTCTCTCTCTCTCTCTCCCTCTCAGATAAAAAACCTCTTCATGAAATAAAATCCCAAAGTAAGTTCTTTTTTTTCTCTTGTAAATATGATTTTCCTCATCTTCTCTGCCGTTTGGGTTATTTGTTTAGGAGCTAAGTAGGAGCCAAGGTTTTATGCGAGGCTTTAGCATCTGCTGAAAGCATCTTTGGCGCACCCTGTGATCCCAGGTTCAGTGTGAGCCCGGGGAATGCTCATCCCCAGCAATTCCTGGCTGACAGGGAGCCCCGGCTCCTGGCGTGCTCGGCTTGGCATCCATCTCTGCAACCTGGAATTAGGAAAACAGCAATTAATGCAGGGGTTTGGGGTTTTTGGTGCAGGTCTGGTTGGGCTGCGGGCTCTGACCTTGCTCAGCTCCCTCCTGTCTCAGCTGGAGGGTGTTTCTGTGCCTTTCCCTGTGCCTGGGGATCATCTCGGGGCTGTTCTGGGGCTCCTGTCCTGCACCTGCAGCTCTGCCTGACCCCAGCAGGGACTGGCACCGGGGGCCAAGGCACAGGATGAGAGGGAACAGCCTGGAGCCGGGCCAGGGATGGAGCTCAGCAGGAATTCCCTGTGGAAAGGGCTGCAGAGCAGTGCAGGGGCTGCGCAGGAGGTGCCCGGAGGTGGCACCTGGGCCGTGGCTGGTGCTGACCATGCTGCTGCTTGGTCATCTCTGAGGGATTTTCCACCCTTGGTGATCCTGTGATTTTACATTCCTGGTTCCTAGTTTTTTTCTCGGGATACCCAAAATCAGTTTAGGGAGCTGCAAAAGGTGCTGAGGATGCCTTGAGCCCTTCTGCTTTGGGTTTGTCTGGGTGTCCCCAGAATCACCCCTGGTGGGGCCCCTGGGGACGCTCTGTGCCAGCCTGGGCTCAGGCACTGGGTTCACTTTCTTGTCTGTGCAGTTTCATTTCATAGAGAAAATGGAGAGAACCTCAGCCAAATCGCTGGGTTTTCTGATTTACCCAAAAACGAGCTGCAGTGGGATTGATCTGGGCTCTGAGAGGCCCGGAGATGGAAAGGGCTCAGTTCCACCCTGGGGCAGGGACACAGAGCTCAGCTCCTGCTTGTCAGGGAGCAGGAACTGCTCCAGGACTTCCCAACTCATCAGGGATGCAGAATCAAAGCCAATTATGAAGATGATGGAGGGACAACCTGTTCCACGGAACGATCTCTGACCGAGTCCCTGAGCTGTGCTCCGAGTGAGGAGAAGGACTTTGGGCCGTGGGAGTGATGGGGATCTCGGGAAGGGGAGCTGGAAGAACCTGTGGGATCTCCTGCCCAGATCCCGGGATCTCCTCTCCCTGCTGGAGCTGGGGAAGTGGGCCCTGCACAGCTCCTGCAAAGCACTCCTTGTAAATGAGATAATTTAATCAATTACATCTCCTAATGCACTAAACCAAATGTTTCATTTTCTGCTCCTGCACATCTTAAATTATCTTCAGGTGCTTTATGAAACTTAATCATAGTTAATAGAAACTTCATTACCATCAAATGTGCTTTCAATAAATGTTGTGTAACAGTGGCAGGAGGTGGAGTGACAAATGGGCTGCAATTATCACAAACATGGATCCTGGAGCAGAGAGGGATAAAACTCCTGGTGCCTGCCAGGGTCCCGCCCGCCCCTGGGCCGGGAGGCTGCAGCTCATTAAGGAGTAATCGGTGGACTATAAATGTTTGCTTTTCTAGTTTGTTTGCTCGGTTTCCACTTTGCTCCCTTCCGGGAAAAAATAGAAGCAGACCTCACCCCGCTCCCCCAGACTTCCCACGCCTTCCGCCTTCCCTTAACTTCTCATCTCCCACGGAAGGAGTTCTCCAAAAGAAAAGATCAGAAGGTGAAGAGGTAAAAATTACTTTAAAAAACCCCAGCGGTCGTTTCTAAAGAAACACCAAAATCCTAAACCAAAAAGAAAGTCTCCTTTCTCGTGGAGTTGTGTTCCATGGGAATAATTCTGAGTCGCTCTGGGTTTGCCCTTTTAGCATAAAGCTGTTTAAAAGCCCAGGAAATGCTGAAAAGGATCCTTGGCCTGTGAGCTCTGTGCTCCCCTGAGGCTGTGCTGGGTTTTCCTGGCAGTGGGGCAGTTCTGGGATCACCTGGGGGACTCTGGCAGGTGCTCCAAGCAACGACCAATTTATTCCAGGGAAGGAACCTCAGGAAGAACTCCTGTGAGAACTTTTAATCATAAAATTTATAGACCAGTGTCCAATTCAAGCTCTGGAGATACTTCAGAGTCAATGAAAAGAAAATTCTTCTCCTCAGAAAGATTTTGCTTGAGTCAAACAGCTCCCATTTTTTTTTTATTCTGTGCCCTCCCTCTCATCTTTAACCCATGTACAACGGTTTAAAAGTGGGAAAGTGGAATTGCCTGACATGGGAATCGATGGAAAAGGAGATGCTGAAGCACTTGAGGAGATTTAGAGTCAGAATTGCAGTTACAGTGAGCCCCTGAGGAGTGGCTCCTGCTCTGCTTTGGAGGGCAGCACATCAGCTCTGGGGTTCTCCCCCGTTGCTGTCCTGGGGGCTGGAAGTTTTTCCTGCCAGGATATTTCTGCACCTCTCAGACTCGATAATTTATCATCCCAGCAAGGCAGGAGGGGTAATTCACGTTTTCAGCTCTTTTCCTTTTTAAAGCAATGATCCAAAGGGAAGAGTTAAAGATGCTTTGTGGTGCAATAACCGCGAGCTCTCGATGGCTCCCTGGGAAGGGGAAGACCCCAATTGTTCCTGAGTTCCTGGAGATCCATCCCCTCCCTCCTTCTGCCTCATTCATTGCTCTAATTACCCACAGAAATTAAGTCAACAATAGCATTTCATAATTAATTCCCTGTAACAACAAAGCAACTTGGGAATAGGAAATTGGAAGAAATAGAAATGTAATTATTGTCTGTACTCCCCTTTCTGCACCTGGTGCTGGGGAACAAAGCAGAGCTGTGGAAATGGGGCTTTGGATTGGAGTTTGTGTTGTTTTGGTCTGATCTGAGACATTTCCAGTTTGCCTTTGTGACCCTGGGGCTTTGCATTTGCTTTTTCTGTCTGGCCTCTCCCATTGTTACATTGTCAGCCAGTATTTCACTCTCTGCAATGCCTAACTGAGCCTAAAACGCTCAAAATTCTCTTTACAGCATTTTTCAAGGGGGGAACTCATGGAAAAAAAAGAAAAAAAACCAAAAAGGCTTCAGAAAAAAACCCAAACACTTCTCTTTTAGAGACTGATTTGGTAGAACTGTTGGCAATGGAATTGTTCTAGGAAGCTGAATTTCGTAACCTTACGAGTTTGTTCAATGTGGTTTCCTGACCTGCCACAGAAGGTGGTTCCTCCTCAAAGCTGATGTTTCCATGAAAACTTTGTGATTTTTCTTCCTCCTTCCCAGCAAGCTGTGAACGTGTTAAAAGCAGAACCATTTTTCATTTGGAGATTACTTGAAAACATAGCAGAAATTCTGCAGGAGTATTTTCTTGGTTAAAGCGTTCTGGTGCTGGTAAAACTGATATAAAACATGTATTTTGGGTTGAGTGGGGCGCTGGAATCTCGTGGTCGGGGTTGACTGGGACCAGCTGGGGAGTGGGGACGAGAGGGATGTTTTCTGTTAGGGATGTTTGAACCAACCCTTTGGCTGTACTTCTGAGTGGAGCTCCCAGCTGAAATTCAGCTTGTTCCCAGCGCCTGGAGCGGGTTTGGGGGCTGGGGGTCCTGGTGCTGCCACTGCTGGGGCTGTTCCCTGCTGGGAGGGAGCTGTGGGTGCCCAGCCCCTTCCCAGCACATCCCGCCGGGGCTGGTGGCGCTTTTCAGACGCTTCTTTTTTGTGAGGAAGTGTTGAGCCAAGGAAACGCTGCCCAGAGGTGTTCGTTCCTTTCATCTCAACAGTCTGAGGTTTCTTGTTCGTTTTCAAAACTCAGCTAAAATTAAATTGTCCCCTCATGTCCTCCCCTGTCCCCCGTGTCCCCTGTCCCGTATCCCCTGTTCCCCCATGTTCACCTGCCATGTCCCCACACTCTGAGCGTGTTGTGTCCCCTGTCCCTGCACTCTGAGTGTGTTGTGTCCCTTGTCCCCCTGTCCATGTCCCTACACTCTGTGTTGTGTCCCCTGCCATGTCCCCGCACTCTGAGCGTGTTGTGTCCCCTGTCCCCACACTCTGAGCATGTTGTGTCCCCTGTCCCCACACTCTGAGCATGTTCTGTCCCGTCCCTGTCCCCGTACTCTGAGCGTGTTGAGTCCCCCTGTGTCCCCTGTCCCGTCCCCACACTCTGAGGGTGTTCTGTCCCGTCCCCACACTCTGAGCGTGTTGTGTCCCCTGTGTCCCCTGCCATGTCCCCACACTCTGAGCGTGTTGTGTCCCCTGTCCCCGCACTCTGAGTGTGCTGTGTCCCCTGTCCCCGCACTCTGAGCGTGTTGTGTCCCCACAGATGTGGAGCGCGGCGGGGCCATCGCGCTGTACTCGGGGCTGGCGGCGGCGGTGCTGGCGGTGGCCGTGCTGGCGCTGGGGGTGACCCTGTACCGGCGCAGTCAGAGTGAGTACGGCGTGGATGTCATTGATTCCTCTGCACTCACGGGAGGCTTCCAGACTTTTAATTTTAAAACAGTCAGACAAGGTTAGTGCGGCGATTTCCTCTCCTTCTCTGCAGAGCTCCCACTGCTCAGACACACCTGCATTTGGGGAGGGGGGCTTGGGGCAGCCAGGGCAGGGACAGGGACCCTGGAACTGGCTCTGCTCTGTCCCACAGACACAGAATCCTCCTTGGCCATGCTCCAGATGCTTTAGAAATGCCGTCCCCAGCTCCTACACTGATTTAGGAAAAGCTCAAACTAAACAAAGCGACCAAAGCAGCTCAAGCTCAGGCAACAGAGCCGTAGTTCCTCCTGTTCTGTCACAGCCCTTTCCTCCACTCCGATAAAAGGGATTATTCCTTCACCAATAATCTGAGACCCAGCTGGAAGTGTTTTGTAGCCCACAGACACTGGGCTCTGTGGGAAATAAATGTGTGTAAGACTGGACCCCCAAAGCTGTAGAAAAAAACTCCAGTGCCAAAAAACGTGGACAAAACGTTAACTAAAAACAGTGCTCAGGTTTTCAGGAATGTTATTCCCTTTGAACAGGAAGGTGGGGAGGGAGAGAAACGGGGATGAAAGCAGGATGTTTATTGATTCTGTGCTGCCATTCTACCTCAGACCTGCCTGATTGTGGGTGGGTGGGAGCGTGGGTGGGGTGTGAAAGTGTCCCCATGTCTCTGTTCTCTCTTCAGAAAAGGGAAATATGTTGCAGAGTTTGTTTGGGGGGTTTGGTGGTGTTGTTTTTACAGTTTCTTTATTTCCTGGAGACGTCCTCACCAAGCATGACTTGCAAGAAATTGGGAAAAGGGCTTGGCAGACAAGGACGTTTGAAGGAGGTTCACTCATCCATTTCTAAATCCAGACCTTTAATTAGGGCTGTGTAAATCTCAATGACTGTGTCAAACAGAAACATTTTCCTTTGTGGTTAGAATCTTGTTTTGAGTCTGGGGAATTGTTTGCTTGGCTTAATGCTGAAAACCTTTCATTCTGGATGCTCTGAAAATCCCCAACTAAACAACCAAGGAAAAAGACCCCACCACAAAACCAAACAGCCAGAGGATTCAGGCCCTAAATCCATCCAGTGCTCATTTTTCAGAGTATCTTCTGAGGGAAAACGCCTCAAAATTAATAACTGTGGTGTCTTTCCCTGTATCACTCTTGTCCCACTTCCCTTTCAGCCCAGTTCCCCTCAGGCATGAAGTTGTGGGTTTGTGTAAAAGGTCTGCAGGAAGATGTTGTCACCCAGTGGGGTTTAATGTAAGGGAAGAAAACAAGGAGAGAGGAAAAAGGCAAACACACAAACGCGAATCCAAAGAAAGGAGGCTCCTCCTTGGATTCCTGCACTCTGGAGCTGCCTGAGGTGTGGCAAACATGAAGTGTCAGATCTTTACACCAGTTCCTCTGTCCTCTAACATGGTCTGGTGTGAGTTTGGGCTCTGAGAGCTCAGGGAGGGCAGAGCGAGCCCCAGAGGGGACGGGAGAATTTGGGAAGGGATTCCTGCGGCGTCCCCTCCACCCACGCCAAGCGCTGCTCCTGTCCCCGCAGGTAACTCCCTGCTCCTGAACTCGTCCCTGCAGCCCGAGCTGACGGTCAGCAGGACCTACAGCGGCCCCATCTGCCTGCAGGACCCCCTGGACAAGGAGCTGATGACGGAGTCGTCCCTGTTCAACCCCCTGGCCGACATCAAGGTCAAGGTGCAGAGCTCCTTCATGGTGTCCCTGGGCGTCACCGACAGGGCCGAGTACCACGGCAAGGCCCACCCCGGGACCTTCCCCCACGGCAACCCCAGGCCCTTTGGGACAATCCAGGCCAGGAACAAGGCCATGTTCATCCAGAACCTGGCCTCCATCTCCAGCAGCAGCGAGCTGAGGAGCTCGGCCCTGTTCGGGCACCTGGGGGGCCGCCTGGTGGTCCCAAACACAGGTGGGTGGCTCCTTTCTCATGAAAGCACATAAAAGAATTTGAGATTAGGCTGCCTGATGTAGTGTTTTAGAACTAATTTTTTTTTTAAAAAATGCCAGGAAAGAAGAAGTAGGGGCCCCATTAATGCAGATTTTGGGAAGTAGGGCACATTGCCCACACAGGACACGAGTGATCAGAGGGAAGCCTGGGCTGAGGACTGAAGAGGCATTATGCCTATTTGAACTGTTTTAAATTACTGCCTCTCTTGATGTCTTCAGCATGAAAGCCACATTAATCAAAGCTGTGCCTTGCTTGGATCCTGCTCCAAAGGAAAGGCTCCCCGGGAAGGGTCAATACTGGATCAGAATCTTACATAAGGGCTCACGTTCCAGCAGCAGCTCCGGCCCCACAGCCCTGCCTGGGGGGCACAGGGACAGCAGCCAGGCCTGGGGACAGCCCCACAGCCACCAGGCTCCTGCTCCCTCCTGCCTGCCTGTTTTCCCCTTTTCTGGAGCAAAAAGCTCCCCAGTTTCCCAGAGCGGGGCCCTTCCTGTCAGCCCTGTCCCAGGCTGGGCGCTGGGATCTGCTCCCTCTGCTCTGTGTCGGGAGTTTTGGGAGCTCAGGGCTTTGTGGGACGTGTTCCAGACCTGCAGGATTGTTTGTGAATGAGCTGAACAGCAGATCAGAGCCCAGCAAAGGCTGTCAGGGTCACGGCCCTCAGCTGCACCCCAGGGCTGTGTTTGCATCACCCCAAATCCCAGTTCTCACCTTGGGCACTTCCTCTCCCCAAAAGGCAGCACAAAAAGCCAGATACCCCAGCCAGGGGTTATCAGCCTTCGACTCCAGTGACATTTATCCACTTTAAATTCAGCTCTGGTTTTGTTTGACCAGTGGCTCCAGGATTATCTGCTGCTCTCTGGTTGAACTGGATGATTTAGAGCTTTATCCTTCATGTCCCACAAAACGGGTGCTTTAAAGGTTACCATAAAAACCGTGGTTTGTGTTTAGAGAGGACTGATAACAGTGACAGTCCAGGCATGCACAACGTGTGGAATGTTTTCATTTCTCCACAGACCAGTTTTGTGCTGAGGAAGGAACATTGCAGAGGCACTAAGTTAAGGCATGAATTAAGAATTCCCTCATGCTGTATATTTAGCTACTTTATGTAATGATAGTCCCATCAATTAGATTATTAAAATATGTATTTGGTCCACTTGCAATTTATGTAATTCTTGCAGCATTTATGTAAGATCAGCTGTGCCAAGCAGTTGTAAATTCCAGTGTGATGGAGTCAGTGCCTTGCTGAGGCTCTGCATCGTGTGACAGATGCAAAGCCAAACACATTCCCCCTCTCCTGAGAGTGAGATAAAGCAGTTTAATTCCAGTGGTGCCCAGTGGAAAGCTCCCTCCTTAACTTCTGATCCAGCCTGGTGGTGTCAAAGGAGAATGGGATCACTTGGAAGCAGGAGCTGGGATGTGTGGGAGCAAAGGGGTGATCGCCCTGCAGGAGCTCTCCATGGGGAGGCTCCCTGGGATCCCACAATGATCAATGATTTCAAAGTTGGAAAGAGGCAAGGAGCTCTCAAGAAGCTTTTTGGGAAATAAGATGTCTTTTCCTCGAATGGCAAAGTGACAGCTTTGTTTCCTTTGATAATTAATGTTCCTTTCATCTGCTGACGTTGCCATGAGAAGCAGGAATTCAGGGGAATGTTCAGCTGCTCCCTCGGGGTTGTGTTCCCTGCCCTTCCCAAGGGTCAGTCCTGCCCTTGTTCTTTTCCAGGGGTCAGCCTGTTGATTCCACATGGAGCTATTCCAGAGGAGAGTTCCTGGGAAATCTACCTGGCCATCACCCAGCAGGAGTCCAGGTGAGAGATCCAGGGTCACGGATCTGCCTCCTTTGGGTCGGGATGGAACGTGCAGGAGTCACTCCTGGTGCCCACTGCTGGGGTGACCACCCTGCTGTGACCCTGAAAGGGACACAGAAATGTTCTTGGAGGGCTGCTCCTGTGAAATCCATGGAATTCTTGTGCCTGCTGCTCCCTTCTCCCCTCCCTGCTCAGGAGGAACTCAGCAGCTGCACCTCAGGCTCCAGGGGTGCTTCCATGGATTTTTAGCCTGAGAATCCTACAGACACTTGGAAGCACCGAGGCCCCAGCAGAATTTATTAATATGACACTTAGGAAAGGAAAAAAAGAAATTGGCCTTTTCTTGTTACCCTGTTGTTTCTTTCTTTTCTCCCCTGCAGTCTCACCAACACTGTAGACACAGACTGAGGGAGGGCTGGAACGTTCCAGCCTCTCTTTAGCAGGAATGGAGTTTGCAAAGTGCATTTTCTGAGCGGCTACAGCTGCATGTCAGGCTGTCACCACGGGCACTGGAATGGGGTATCCAAGTCAGATTGGGCTTTTCTCCTTTTTGCATCCTGGTTTTATTGTCCTATCTTCTTATTTTTATCTTGGTTGAGGTCCTTTCCCTAATTTTTACATTGGTTGAGGTTCCTCCTCTCATTTTTCATCTTGGAAACAGCATTTGCTTTTCATTTGAAGAGGGAACTGCACGCCCAGTAATTTAGAAGCCAATCACGGGGATCACACGACCCAGATGAATTAAAATACAACCAAACAGCAACAAAACCTTCAGGGCAAGAGGGTTCAATTGCTGGTTCAGTGTCCAAGGGAGTCTCCTCCACTCTGGCGCCACTCCTGCCCAGGGATTTATTCCAAGAGATGCAGAAACCACGTGGCTGTGGGGCTGCGTTGTTGCTGGAGTGGGAGAGAAGAGCAGATTACACATCTCTAGAAGTCAGCAGAGAGGCTGCAGCTCTTCATCCAGCCCAGGTGAACCCCTGGAGCTCGGCTGTGCTGGTGGGATCTCCCCTGCCTGTCCCGGAGCCACACTGCGCCACTCCCAAATCCACAGCCCCGTCCCCGAGCCTGTAAAAGTCACTGAGCTCGTTCCTCCTGCAGAATGCAAATGAGTTTTCAAAGCAGGGAGATCACACTCAATCTGGAAAAATTTATGAGCCTGTGTTTTTTAAACCATAATTTGTTTTATCTTCGCTCCTGTGAAAATATTGTTGATGGCAGTGTTTGAAGGCAGAGCACGGTGGGGACGGGACCAGCTGGTGCTGGAAACGGGGCTGGCTGGCACAGAGCAATTTCAGTGCTGGATTTGGGTTAAACAAATTGAAATGTATTTTAAATACCAGAGTCCTAAACTGACCAGCCGCTGATTGGAGTTAGATGGGGTCTAATGGGTTTGTTTCATCTCCAGCTGCTGCTTCCACGTGAAACGAGCAGAAATGAGCAGATGAGGGAGGTGCTTGGATTTGAACTGAAATATTTTCAGTGAATTCTCACTCCTGACAGCCACTCTTGTCTTTGCTGCCCCAAGCCTGGAGCCGGAGGGCCCCGAGGTGCTGCTGGGGCCCGAGGTGAGCTGCGGGCCCCCCGAGCTGGCTGTGAGCACCCCGTGTGCCCTGAGCATCCCACACTGCGCCCACGCCGACCCCCAGCACTGGAGCATCCACCTCAAACGCAGGACGCAGCAGGGGAAGTGGGAGGTAAGCCCAGAGCCCACCATGGACATGGAATTAGCCCTCAGCCCATCCTGTTACACGATTCTGGCAGGGATAGACACAGGGAGACATCTGAGAGAAACAATTACAGCAAAAAGGGTTTGCATTTTGGGAAGAAGCAGCAGAATTGGTTTTGGGGTGTTTTTACCAAGATGTGCAAAAGTTTATGGCTACAAAGCCCAGCCCTGGATGCCACGGCTGCAGCCTGGCCTGGCCTGTCCCTCCCTGAGCCCCTGCCTGGCTTTTGCTCTGCTTTCAACCATTCCAGTCCCATTTGCAAAATTCAGATTTACTCAGGCCTTGGGCAGCTCCAGCAGCGCTGGCCTCAAACAGCCCGGGCCACTGAGGAGAGGGACACGGGGACAGAGTCATGCAGGCACAGAGCCACACGGGCACACAGGGACATGGGGACAGAGTCACACAGGGACACGGGGACATGGGGACAGAGGGACAGAGGGACAGAGTCACACAGAGACACTGGGACACGGGGACAGTCACACAGGGACACGGGGACATGGGGACAGAGGGACAGAGGGACAGAGGGACAGAGTCACACAGGGACACAGGGACACAGGGACAGTCACACAGGGACATGGGGACACGGGGACACGGGGACATGGGGACACAGGGACAGTCACACGGGGACATGGGGACATGGGGACAGAGGGACAGAGGGACAGAGTCACACAGGGACACAGGGACAGAGGGACAGAAGGACAAAGTCACATGGGGACAGAGTCTCATGGGGACATGGGGACACAGGGACAGAGTCACACAGGGACACAGGGACATGGGGACACAGGAACACAGGACACAGGCACAGAGTCACACAGGGACATGGGGACACAGGCACAGAGTCACACGGGCACACAGGGACATGGGGACACAGGGACACAGGACACAGGGACAGAGTCACATGGGGACAGAGGGACACAGGGACATGGGGACACAGGGACACGGGCACACAGGGACAGGGGGACACAGGGACATGGGGACAGAGGGACAGGATCACACAGGGACAGAGGGACAGAGTCACACAGGGACATGGGGACACAGGGACACAGGGCCAGAATCACACGGGGACATGGGGACACAGGGACAGAGTCACACAGGGACATGGGGACATGGGGACAGAGTCACACGGGGACAGAGGGACAGAGTCACACAGGGACATGGGGACACAGGGACAGAGCCACACCGGCACACAGGGCAGGACTGAGCAGCAGAGGCAGAGCAGAGGGAGTTTTTGAGGAAGGTAAACCTGGCTGTAATGGGTGTTCTGGAAGTCAAACCCCAGCCATTGTTCAAGGTTTGCTTATTGACTTTAACCTTCAAGGTAATTTTTTAACTTGACATTGGGGGGGAAAATTAGGCAGAAAGTCAAGAGCACTTGAAAAAAGCTGCTAAAATTGCTTAGGCATCATCATTATTATTGTATGTACACAGCGAGCTCTGCACAGGGCACGGCCATAAATCCTCCTGCTGACTCAGGGCTAAATTGGGAATATTTACTCAGGGCAGCAGTCCCCCTTCTCCCCTTCCCCGAGAGTGCAGCCTGGCTCCCAGCAACACTGCATTCCAGTTGAGTAAAAATAAACAATTAATGCCATGACTCCTATTGTCGAGGCCTATTGATCCGACTTCGCTTTATTCTTTTTAAACCTGAATTTCATTTTGCAGGAAGTGATGTCTGTGGAAGAGGAAACTACTTCTTGCTACTGCCTGTTGGATCCTTATGCCTGTCACATTCTCTTAAACAGCTTTGGAACTTATGCCCTAATTGGGGAACCCATCTCTGACTGCGCCGTTCGACAGCTGAAAGTCGCCGTTTTTGGCTGCCTGTCTTGCAATTCTCTGGATTACAATCTGAGGGTTTATTGTGTGGATAACACCCCTTGTGCATTCCAGGTAAATGGCTTCGCTTTGCTCCTCTGGGCTTTGCTTATTTTCCCATAAAATGCTGACATCCTTTGACCCCCCTGGGCAACCCCAGCCTCAACCCAAGGAGAATACCGGATTTTTTAAGCTCTGCTGCACCATTAGAATAAATCCCTCCATTTCCCTGCAGGTGTGGATTTACACTGGGAGCTTTAGGGCAGCCAAACTCTCTTGTTTGCTCTCTCATTTTTTGCCACATTCTCAACCACCCAAACTCACCCAGCCCTGCTTTACAAAAATTCAATTATCCTGCATTTCCTTTTAAAAAAAAAAACCAACCCAATCCCCACGTGGCAATTGAGATGAGAATGATTTTCCTGCACCGTGTTCCAGGACAAAACAATTCTCTGGCTTTTGGTAAACTCAGGAGCTTTAACAAAATGCTGTTCTTTGGGGACCTGAAACGCAAAGAGTTGTGAGATGAATTTTTTGCTGTCGCACAGGAATGGAAACACGGCTCTGACTGAAGCACACGCTGCTGTCTCTGTGCTTCTAATAAAAGCCAAGGCACCAAAAGGATTGTTAGAGGCTCACAATGGCTTTGTAATTATCCTCTTTATAACACTTAGACAATTAGCGGGTACCAGTGTCTTCCTGATGAGTCTGGAGGAAATGATCAGAAGAATAATTACCAGTTCTCTGCGTTCCCAGGGTGTTTGTAGATAGTGAGACAACCGTGCATTCACGGAACGATGCAGCCCCTAAGAGCAAGTCAATATTAGTGGGGAACGTGGGGCATCACAGAGCTTTTTGGATAAAACACCAGAGCTGGGGTTGCCAAGCTGTGTTTGACAGTTAACCCTGCATGGGGCAGCTTTATGTGAGAGCCAGATTTCCCTTGGTTTTGACTTTTTCCCCGTGTGAAAACTCTCCTTGCTCCTCCAGCAGCTGAGATGGGTCTTTGTGAAGTTCTGAGTGTGCTGGGAAGCTCCTGGCCCTCAAAATCGAAGAGAACCAGCTCCTTTGTGTTTTTCCCAAATGCTGCTGCTGTGGGAGGAGTCCCACGCCTGCCACTGCAGGCAGAGCAGCACTCACAGAACCTTCCAGAACATCCAGCATACACAAGGAGTTTTGAGAATAGTTAAATAATCTGCTCCCTTTGTGGCTGGAAAGCAAAAACTGAAGTCTCCTTCAGTCATGCCTTCATATGAACCCAACCACCAGGGGTTAAACCAACCTAAACACCTGTAAAAATTGGTTTATAATGGAAATCTGTTAGTGCAGTTTCAGAGAGGTCGAGCACTGAATTTTCAGAAGGTCACAATGGTTCCAGGGGCTCCTTTGGTCCTAACAAGCCCTAAAGCCCTTTGGTGGACACAGATTTGATATAATTTTTGTGGATTAAGAAAGGTAATTTGGAAGCACTGCTTGCCTGCTGATTTTTAAAGACTTCTGCAACCTTTCCTTCCTCACTGGTGTTTTTATTGCAACAGCACAGGAATAAACATTGCTTAAGTACAGGCAGGGGTGATCTTTTCCTGCTATTATGTTTTAAATTCACAGAATTACATAAAAAATTCACTTGGAACAGAGCTCTGGAGGGCTGTAGTGCAAACCCCTGCCCAGAGTCTGCCCTTCACACTGCTCAGGGTCTTGTCCAGCGGTTCTGGAAGTGCCCCAGAGGTGGGAAATGGAAGGGAATGATTTCACCTGAAGTGTCTGAGGGCTCTGCAAAGCCCTGAGAAGTTCCTCAGCAGAGCTGCTCTTGAGTCCAGCTGTGCTGGGCTGCTCTGGGGGTGTTGGAGAGGGGAGACAGCCAAAAATTCAGTGTCCATCCCCCATTATCTGCCCAGAAATGGGGCTGCCCAAAGCCAGACTTTGGGGCAATGGAAATACCAAACCCACGAGAGAAACTCTGCCGTGTGTTCAGCACCCCGGGGGAACCTGGCACCTCCACAGAGAGGGATTTTCACTGCCTTTGGGGCTTGTTCCTAACACTGAAAACATTCTCTCCTCCTCCCTTGCAGGAAGTGGTTTCGGATGAAAGACTCCAAGGGGGGCAATTGCTGGAGGAACCCAAACTTTTGCATTTTAAAGGCAACACCTGCAGCCTGCAGATCTCAGTGCTGGACGTCCCTCCCTTCCTGTGGAGAATCAAACCCTTCACTGCCTGTCAGGTACCTGGCATTTCACCTGCTCCCCCTGCCCTGGGGGGCAGAACCCAAATGAACCGAGGTTCCTTTTATTTAAAAAGCTGTAAGCCTCCCGAGCATTTAACAAAAACATGTTGCCTTTTGATTCTGACAAACACAGATTTCGTTTATACCAGAAAGCTGTAAATTTGTCATTTTACAGAAATGCTTGTGCTTTCCCTCATTTCAGTTGCCTCCAACAGAATGCAAATATTCCTCCTGTTCAAACTGAACCACTCCTCAAGATGTTTCTAATATCTGTCATTCCAGTTTTGATATAACTGTGGAAATATGGCTAAAAATGACATTTAAATGTAACCATGAGTTAAAATCACAGCACACAGAGACCAAGTATTAGAACTGAAGAGCAGCAAATTGGTTTTTCTCTTCTCCATTAATTGAAGAGGCTGTTGAAAACTGAAAAGGAAAAATCAAAACAAAATAAGAATTTCCAAGGATTTTGGTGACTGGAAATCCTAAGGAATGTGCTGGCACATGGAGTGGGCTGGTTTTAAAATACAGCACTCAATTAGAATGTACAATCTCCCTTCTCCCAGAAGCAGAGACACAATTATCCATCCTCCAGGATTTTGGCAAAAGCCCTGTTTTAAAAGTGTTGCCACGTTCCCCAAAACATGAGGGTAATGGGCTCTGAAAGTTATAAACACAGAGCCAGGGAAAGCCTCTCCTCGTTAACAGCGTGGGGATAATTTGGGCTACAACTTAAAAAATCATTTAAATTAATCCTTTTCAGCTTCTTAGGGAGAAGAGCTTTTCAGTGTTTTGTTTGTTCTTCTCACTCACGTGTGTTTTAAAATCCAAAGCAAGCAGGGTCAGGATGGCCCAGTTCTCCAGCAGAGACCTGCCAGAGTGTGCCCAAAACAAAATCAAATCCGAGGAGTTTCCTCTCAATGCAGCAAATTCACTTCTGCCCTCACCAGATTATAGAGCTCCGTACTTTGATTAATTTATTGTCTCCTAATCCCTTGTCCAAACACGAGGAATAAATGTCTGTGACAGGCTGGAATTGAACCTCCAAGTGCCACTTAGAGCCTGATCAGAGCAGGGACTCGGGGCTGGAACAAAGCCTGTGCAAAAGCCCTGCTGCCAGAACGGGCTGACACAGCACTGCCCTGGCCCAAAGGAATATTTACATTTTATAGCTGAGTGTAACTGGGGTGGCTTGGACAGCTCAGAAACACAATCACTGTTCCTCAGAGGAGCTGCAGAACCTCCCCTGGCTCTGTGCTTCCCTCGCAGTGAAAAGTCTGGTGACAGCTCTGGTTTGGTTCCAGCCTCTTTATAGAGAAAAAAATCTATTTTTGCACGTGGAGTTTCTTCCAGTGTTCCCTGGGCTCCTCTCCTACGTCCCACCCTGTGAGAGCAGCTGCTTGTGCTGCCTGGCAGGAACAACTGAACACAGCCTGTTCCAGGAATGTCTCTGGTCCACCAGCAGCACCTCCCCGGGCAGCGTGGGGAGGGGAGATTTGTGGAAATGATGTCTCAGACAAGCAGCCATCCTGCTCCAGGGCCAGAGCAGATGAATAAATCACGCTGAGGAGCTGCTGGAAGGCAGCTGGTGGCAGGTGGCACCAGGATTCCTGCAAACTCTGCTCAGAGCCTGTGTCTGTCCTGGCCTGGCAGGAGCAGCTCCCAGGGCTGGGCTCCCTTCCCCTGTGGATGGGAACAGCAGGAGCTGGGCGGGCACCTCTGGGTGTTCAGAGCAGCTTTTGCCTCCCATCCTGCATCTCCTGGAGGATCCTGCTCTGCCTGGGCCATGAGATGATTTACAGCCCCTCTGTCTGCAAGGAGCTTAATTACAAACGTAGAATGGAGCTGAAAGCGTCTCTGGAAACTCCAACCACTCATTGTTCCAGCACTCCTTGCTGCTCTGCATTGTTTCACGCAGCTCCTTTCAGCTGAGTGATTCTTCCACTCCGAGTGAAAGCAGAGATGATCACCCTGAAAAAAATCTAATTACAGTTTCTCCACTCGTAACATTTTGCTAACGTTTCCTTTATCAGTGTGAGCATCTTACTACTGCTGCTGCTCCCAGCCTGGGGCTGGGGAAGGCAGGGAAGGATGCCAGGGCCAGGACAGTTCTCAGAGGGAAATTCCTAATTCCTTTGGGGTGGAGAAGGGAAGGATGCCAGGGCCAGGACAGTTCTGTGTGCCTTTCCTTGGATTCTGGTTACAAGGTGATTCCAAGGAGACACAGAGAGGGCAAGGGGGAGGAAGTGAAGGCATATTTAAATGTCTTTAAGGATGGTTTGTAAGAGTCTCCCATTACTCATTGCCCCAGATGAGCCCTGAGCTCTCGGTCACTGCGACACCTCGGTGTTCATGAACGCAATCCTCACTTTCTGGCTTTGTGCTGTTTGGGGCTGGAGGGGACGTGCCTGAGCTGGCCCCAGCAGAGCAGGACGTGGCTGTTTCCCCCCCGGCCGTGTCCCCTGTCCCTGACGTGTCCCCATCCCGCAGGAGGTGCCGTTCTCCCGCGTGTGGCGCGGCAGCCCCCGGCCCCTGCTCGGCGCCTTCTCCCTGGAGCGCTTCAGCCCCGCCACCAGCCAGCTGTGCTGCACGGTGTGTGTCCGGCAGCTGCAGGGCCACGAGCAGCTCCTGCACGTCCAGACCTCCGTCCTCGAGGTAAAGCCTTGGGCAGCCCCTGCTCTGTGGGGCGGGATGCTCACGGAACAGAATCCCGGGGTGGGATGGGTTGGGTTGGGTTGGAAGGACCTTAAAGCCCATCCAGTGCCACCCCTGCCATGGGCAGGGCCACCTTCCACCATCCCAGGTTGCTCCAAGCCCCTTGGACCCTTCCAGGGACGGGGCACCACCTCTCTGTGCCCCAGTTCCCTCCCTGGTTCTGTCTTTTCCTCGTGTAGGTTTTGCTCAAAGCTGGAACCAGTCTTTAAAGCCTTGCAGATCCCATTTCCAGCAGAAATCGAGGCACAGGCACTGCAGCACTAACAATAATTTATCAGTAATTTAATGATTTATTGTTTGAGTTGGTGGTTGCAGTTTTCTAACGAGAAGCTCTTGCAGAGCTCTGAGGGTTGGGGACAGGGGTACAAACTGTGTCTCGTGGGGACTGGGCCCTGCTCGTGGCTAAAAGAAATCAGAGCTCCAGCTGAGCAAGCTGCTGCTCTGTCAACAGCCATGAGAATTCAGCAGCTGTGCTTTTTTAGGTTACTGAGCATCTTTGTTGATTAATCCGGATTAATGGTTCTGGATTAGAGCTCTACACCCATAAATGCTCTGAGCAGGGAGTGCAGCAGCTGGACAAGAGCAGCATGAGCATCATCCTGTGTAAAAACTCCTCAGAACTGGCCAAGTGCTTTCTGCTCCTTTATCCTTATTTCATGAAACCCCTCTGTCGCTCTCTCTGTGTCTCCAGCCCGTGCTGCTGCTGCCTTGCTCTCCCTCTCTGCTGTGTTTTTAAGGGCCCTGTCTGTACACAAGTCCCCAGAGCATGTTCCAGTTCTGCTTCAAGCAGATTTGCTGCTGTGGAAAGCTTTCTCATGCCTATCTCCAGCAGTGATTGAAGAGGGAGGATAATTTGACTGCAAAATAAATCTGTAAGTGACAACTCCCCCCCGGAGCTGCTCCGTGCGTGACAATCCCCGGAGCACCCGGGTCGCTGTGCTTATCTCACACGGGCAGGGCAGGAGCATCTCCTGCTCTGCATCTTGAGCAGAGCCCAGGGCAGAGCTGCAGCACCCAGTGCCGAGCCTGGGGATGTGTCACAAACGTTGGATGGAGGCTGCACCATCACTGCTGGTTGGTTTTGATGCTGTGTCACTCTCCAATGAGTAATGCACTGAAATTTGACTCTGTTATGCAAGACTGGTGTGATTCCACAGGAAAAGAGGGGCCAGATCCACAAGGACCTGGATTCCAGAGAGGCTGGGAGAGCTGAGGTGCTTACAGAATTCAGGTGTTTAAAAAAGCCCAAAGAAAGAAACATAAATTTGTGTGTCCATGGGTTTAATCAATTAAAGATTTAGAAAGCCAGCAGTGCTCTGTAACAGAAAAATAACCATAAAAGAAAACTCGTGGAAGGAAAATAACAGCATTTTAAAGGTTTTTATGTGCAAATCCTTGTGATGTTCTAGGTGTTCTTTCACAAATCACAAAAGCACCTCTTAGCTCAGTCATTTTCTGTTGTCAATTCAAGCGACAGGAGGAACCCGAGGTTTGATTCTTTCCCTGCTTTGCCTTCCCGTTCCCTGCAGGCCGAGAGAGAAAACATCACCTTCTTTGGGCACGAGGACAGCGCCTTCCCTGCCCAGCTGGGCCCCAAGGCGTTCAAGATCCCGCGCTCCATCCGGGAGCGCATCTGCGCCACCTTCGACACGCCCGGCGCCAAGGGCAAGGACTGGCAGCTGCTGGCCCAGAAGAACAGCATCAGCAGGTGATGGCAGTGATGGCAGTGATGCCTTCAGCTCTGGCTTGGAGATTTTCCAGGCTCTGCACTGCCCCAGGGTGTGACTCTGAGCCCCACATAAAGCGTCAGCGAGTTCTCCTCAGTTCCAGCCACACCAAACCTGCTCCAGCCCGAGCACCAAGGACACCGTGACAGCCTCAGGCCCAAAAAGTGTAACCAGCAGCGAGCTGAGGAGAGCAGACTGGGAGGGTGGCACTTCCCAATCTTCATAATCTTCATAATCTTCATAATCTTCATAATCTGTAACTGGACAGTTCATCCCAATATGGAAATGGACCAAAACTTATAAAAATGTGAAAACTCGTGGCTCAGAGTCCACCTTGGGTCCACCTTGGTTGGAGCCACAGCCAGGCTCCTGCACTGCCCAAGGTGCATCCTTTGAAGGCCTTTTAACAAATCCCCACTTTATTCCGTTTCCTCTGTGCAGCCTCAGTTCCAGGGAGCCTCTCAAGGCATCAGCAGCGCCCTGGGCAGGGGGGCTTGGCCCTGGAGCAGGAATTATCAGCTGCTCAGGGTTGGTTTGCTGCTGTCAGGGCTGTGGGTGAATTAAGGGCTCTCAGGGCTCATTTCAGCTGCTCAGAGCTGTCAGCTCCTCGTGCTGGGCTGGACATTCTTCTGTCCACCCTCAAGGCTGCAGGAGGATTTTGTCCATCATGGAAACTGTTGTTCAAAGCACTTAGGAGGCTGCACATTCCCCCCAGACAAATCCCCTTGGCTCTCATGGGTGCATTTCCTCTTCCAAAATGAATCCTGCAGATTTTTTTATTTTTTTTTTTAAGGGAAAGACATCTTTAAAAGAGACAGTCGTGCTCTAGTGTTAGGAGTAATAATATTATGATGATTAAAACTGAAAGATGCTGTAAAAACCAATTTACTTCTTACTTTGCTTTTTCTGCTTGGCTAAATTAAATTGGTGGAGGCAGCTCCGTCACAAAAATATTTTCTGATTGTCACAAACTCTATAAATATGTTCCCAGGAGGGCAGAGGAATGCTTAAATCAAGCAAAGTAACTTTCCATTGCCTTCTTGCTTTGCATGGGAACCTCAATAAACCGCATCTGACCCAAAGGAAAAAGAGTTTTGGATAAACCCAAAACTTTGTTTTACCAAATTCTATACAAATCACCCCTGCAGGGTCCTAAAAATGGCACATTAACAAAACAGAAAATCACAGATAAAAGGTGGTGAGTCTTTGCATAAGCACAAGCATCAACTGCTGTAAATCCTTCTCCCTGTCAAATCCTTGCTGTATTTCCTAGTGATGCTTCCCAGGAGGGATTTTCCCATCCCGGGGGCAGCACTGCTGGGCCTGGGGACACCCTGGGCTCGTGGTCACTGTCCCTGGGCTGGGCCTGGGGACACCCTGGGCTCGTGGTCACTGTCCCTGGGCTGGGCTGGTGCCACACCCTGGGCTCATGGTCACTGTCCTTGTGCCAGGCTGGGCAGGTGCCACATGAGGAGCCACCTGGGCTCGTGGTCACTGTCCCTGGGCTGGGCAGGTGCCACACCCTGGGCTCGTGGTCACTGTCCCTGGGCTGGGCAGGTGCCACATGAGGAGCCACCACCTCCAGGGGTTCCTCAGCTCATGCCCCAGCTGTGCTGGAGGGGTTTTTTCCCAAGCACGTGGATCGTGCTGGGTACAGGGCACAGCTGCAGCCCCAGCTGCTCCTCATCCCTCTTTCCCTCCCTTCCCTGCAGGAATCTCTCCTTCTTCGCCGCCCAGAGCAGCCCCTCCGCCGTCATCCTGGACCTGTGGGAGGCGCGGCACCAGCACGACGGGGACCTGGACTCGCTGGCCTGTGCCCTGGAGGAGATTGGAAGGACACACTCCAAGCTCTCAGACGTGGCAGAGCCCGAGCTGGAGGAGCCCGAGTTCCCCGGCAGCAGGAACGGGCTCTAGCCCCCCTGCCCCGCCAGGACGCGCGGCCAGCTGACCCCGAGCCTGGGCCGGGGGACTGCGGGGGTCGTGCCCGTGGGGATGGAACTCACCCCACACCAGTGGCAGTGGGAGGAGCAGAAGCAGCCCTGCTAAAAACCCTCAGGCCATGAGGAAATCAAGCTTCTCCCTGTCCTCCTCCACTTAAAATCCACCTTTTGGTGCCCCAAACAAACCTGCACTTGTGCCAGTCCCGGGGCAGGAGGGAGAGAGACACAGAGCCATAAGAGGTAAATGTTGTTGTGTGTTTAGGAACAGTCATGTTCATGTAATGCCTAGTGAAAATCAACAAATAATGTTGGATATTCCGAGCCACCGGAGGTTAGGCCTGGTTAAAAGGTTTCTCACTTCGAGAGTGGTTTAAAATCCCATCACGTTGTCACTTTATGTCTGCTACAGGAAAAAACTAAAAATTTGGCCTTATCCTGTTCAGATGTTTGAGGAATTAGAAGATCTCATCATTATTTCATATCATGTGTATTCCAAATAATTTGTTGTGAAAATTCAGCCCCTTAATGAATGTACATTTGCTGCAGAGCTTTGCTGCCTGCTCTGTCACCAAAATTCCAGAACAATCCCCTTTTCTCTGAGACTGGGGGGTGTGCACACGCAAGAGGAATTTTCTAATTTTCTACGTCTGCAAACTTTCTTAGTCAAAAACTGTCTTTGGGGGTGGATTTAAATAACCAAATAACACACGGGAAATTTCCAGCCCGATTTTAGCAAGTTGAGACATTTATTTTTATTACTTCTGGCTCTGTGGCTGAGCTGAAGGTGAAGGCAATCAGCACAGCTTCATTTTGGTTTGGCTTCAGATTGAAACCACAAACCCACACGGCACTGCCAACACTGGCCTTGATTTTGTTGCACAATTTGGGAATTTCACAGGATGCAGAGCTTGGCTGGGTTACCTCGGTTTCGTTACAAATCGCATTTACCCCCAAAATGGGAATCAAACCGGAGAATTCGCCTCGTTTTTTACCCATTCCATATGATTTATACCATTCCAAATATGATTTATGTCTTCAACCAAACCAAAAAGAGCTGTCACTGTGAGCGAGGGCCTGGTGGAGCTGGTATGGAGCCAAATTTCAGCATTATTTTGATCGTTCTTTTCACTCCCATCCTTCACCGTAGCCGAGGTGCTCCCCAGTCCGTGTGGCTGCCGGGGCACAGTCAGGAAAAACAGGAACAGAAATGAGGCTTTGGGAGCTTTGTGGAAATGCAGGAAAGCCAAAACAAGGATTTGGGGGCTGTTTTAGGCTCGTGTTTGGCTGAGAGCAGCACGACAGCCCCCAGGGCAGGTCCGGTCTGGAACTATTCCCTCACCCAGTGAAGTGTGAAAATCTCAACAACAACAACAACAACAACAACTCTGTCCTTGCTCCTGCTGCTCCGAAATCCGCTGCCTGCCCAGCTCAGGAATAGGCTGAGACTTGGAAACCCTGAGACTTGGAAATGCTGAGACCTGTGCAAACATTTCCTGCAGCTCAGCATCTCCTGCAGCCTGGCAGGAGGCTCCTGGTGCAGGGGCTCCAGCAGATTTAGGGGCAGACAGAAATACCGGCTGCAAGCTGTCACTGCTTTTAGCAGCACATGCTCCTCGCGGGGCTGGAATGATATCTCCAGTGACTGCCAGTCCTCCTCCTCAGAAACCTGTTCTTCGTTGGACAAAATGTCAGGCATTACAAAAACAAAACAAGGGATGGCATCCAGGGAACCAGCGCAGAGCTGCCGTTGTCGGGGAAACCAGCCCCAGTCTGTCTCCTGCAGGGAATTTGTTCTCAGAGCAGCTCTGCTGTGGAGCAGGCTGGGTTTGTGTCCCCCAGCACAGCCCCAGGTGCTGCAGGGCTGCTCCCCAGAGCTGCATCCCCCAGAGCTGCATCCCCCCAGAGCTACATCTCCCAAAGCTGCATCCCCCAGAGCTGCATCCCCCAGAGCTGCATCCCCCAAAGCTGCATCCCCCAGAGCTGCATCTCCCAAAGCTGCATCCCCCAGAGCTGCATCCCCCAGAGCTGCATCCCCCAGAGCTGCATCCCCCAGAGCTGCATC